ATGTAATGTAATGTATGTATTTGTGTGTACAATGCTAGCTAGGTAGAGCGATAGATGGATAGATGGGTAGATGGATGATAGATCCATAGGTAGGTAGATAGATAAACAGGTACAGATGAACGTGTTTATGCTTATAATAATTCCATTTCTACATAGAGCAAGGTCCCTTACTAATGCTATGTGTACATAATCTGGGTACCACTATGTAGCTGCGCGTTCTATACATGTGTAGTTCCATTCATAAGAAGGCACAGACACGAATGGGAGAAGTGTGAACGGTTTTGGCTCGTCTATTCGGTTTACATTCAGAAGTGTAAATCTCGTTTAGGCCTGGCTGTGGAAGAAGAGATCCAGTAAGTAACTGACACCCAGGGCAAACTTGTTATATTTCTGAATAGGATATTAGCAGTCCAGGCATTGAATTCAATCCCCTAGCCCTGAACCACTAAAGCACATAAACCCGAGGCCACACTCTAAATCCCAAGCGCTTCACCACAAACTATGTCTGTGATCCGAAGGCTCGATCTTGTTTATTTATGATCGGAATGATCTTTCGCGCAAAGGGCATTTCCGAAAATCAAGGTCCGTTGCGAAAGGATCTTTTATCCTGCTGATTCGGGTCTATAGCGGGGTCCCAATCTCGGAATACCATATCCGAAGCTTAGTTCCAAACCACGTGGTATTATTCGGACAGCTGAATTCGTTTGGTTCCGGGGGGAATTGGAAGCAAATTGCGCCATGACTCGCTGATTACGCCGATACTTGTGTTGACGAGCACTCAGCTTTGAAGCCTGGGTCTTAATTCCTTTAAAGCCTACATCCTCAAGCCCTCAATCTCAAATCGGATGAGGGAAAATCCAGACCCCTAAAAACACACAATGCCAAGGTCTGGCTTTCTTGTGAAGCATCACCCCAACGGCTCTGCCCCCTCGCAGTTGCAAGAGACCCTCGGCTGCAGCTAGAGTGAAGCTGCAGAGAAAACGCAATATGGTATAGCCGCTTATGTTTTGCTGCCAAAAGTTAACATTTGTGTTCCCCTTGGCGGAAGTGTTCCTGACCGTTGCGAGTAATAGCACCCTAACGGTAGGGAGTACGATGGCAGTTCCGACCCCAAATGCGAGCATGTTTTGGCCAAGCGTCATAGCTTGAGGCACGCCCTTCAGCATTTGGAGTCGCGGGTATGGAAAAGGGGATTGCTGATTGTATTATCTGGGTTTTGTATCATTGGCCCCATGGAGATTTTGGGATCAGGGGTTGGGGATTAGGGTTCGGGGAGTACAAAGCGGACCAGGGGACAAGACCATAACAGGAAGAATACTCCTCCAACCCTGCTGCGACGACTAACAGGCACAAAACCCGGTGCAAGTGCTAACGCCAACGGATGATTCAGCTACCATTCACACTCCCATAGTACAGCTTCCAGGAAAAGCCAGCAAGCATTCAGTCGGCTTGGACTTAGGCGGTTCAGGAGTCGCGCGCTTGGGGCTTAGGCTTAAATGTTTAGGGTTTAGGGGTTAATGCACAAAGCCCTAGATCGGGTTTATTGTTGACCTTCAACACCTTGCTAGCAAGAATAAACCCCGAAACCCGAAGCCCCAAACCGTATCTGCATAGACCCATTAACTATACATCGTGGTAAAACAACCCTACACCTAGGCCCGGAGCTCTAGCAATCCAGCCCTGAGCCCAAAACCCGAGGCCCTAAACCCTAATTCCGAAACCTTAAGCCCTAAACCCACAGCCTGTCCGCGGCTCAGGCGATACTTTGTGCTTTCCCGAGGCTGGTTTTTCCAGATTCCGAAACCCGTTGCCCCATACACCGGGATGAGGGTTTAGGGCTTATAGGGTTCAGGGGGCTGAGGGTTTAGAGGGCTTAGTGTTGTTTGGGGATTTTGTAAATCTAGGGCCTTGGCCTAATGAACTTGCAGGGTTCGTTTAGAGTGGCATACAAGTGTTCAAGGATTTTGTCTATAGAACCCACTAGGGGTGAACTAGCCCCTCAACGCCCTAAACCAGCTCGCAAAGCCGCCCGGACATCCAACACCTTAGCTTACCTCAAACCTTTGTTCGAGAAGTTGGAGCCCTTTAAATTTCGGGCGTAGCCTTCCGGGAGCAAGAAGATCTTCTATGTCGCTAGATTGAGATAAACTTCCTCCTTGTACAGAGTGGTTAGCCTTTGACCGTTCTGTGTTCTCATAATTTGCCGTTGCTGGTCGGTCAGTCGTATTTCGCATCATGCAGCTAGCAACTTGAGTTTGAGTTTGATGAATTAGGGTATTTAGGGGTTCAGCATTTCGTTTCAGGATTTAGGTTTGCGGTCTCAACTTACCTGGCATCGAGGAGTTCCAGCTGCGAAAAGACTTCTGTGTGTTCGGTGCTGGCTTGGATTTCAACCGTACCGAAGCTGTACATCCAGCTGTGTCCACAAACTATTCAGAAGGCACAGTAGAGCTTGACGATGCACTTGGAAACATGGCTTTTTGTACCAGTCATGTAATTTGAAAAGTACTCCTCAGGAGCCAAGCCGAAGATTGCAGTAATGTGGACATCTTCTATGCACCAGATGACTGCCTTACCACAAGGGGTAGCTCAAATCAAGATCCTCACCACCTTGACCCCCTGAACCATGTTGGGTCGGCAACTAAACCCTACAGCATTAGACGCCCCTAAAACTGTTAGGATGACTCACTCCGTTTGCCCAAGTTATTCAGACCGCCTCTTCCATGGATGGAAAGGCTTGCACGAGGGACCTACTCTAGAGCCTTGTTCATTTAGGGTTTAGGGTTTAGGGTCCCTAATAAACCCTAAACTCTAAACCCTAATACTAAATTCAGTAGCTATGAGCCACCCTATATAGACTCTAGACTGGGTTGTTGGCGTTTAGAGGCTTTGCGTTTTCGCCGAAGCGATTCCTTCTGCGGCCAGGCATGTTGCAGTGGCACAAGGACCGGTGTTTGGTACACCCTTGCCACATCTCTGGTTTTTGCTACACTGTAGTTGCCATGGTTGTGATGACTGAAATGTTCGTGATGGTGAGGGCGGTCTCTTGTTGCTACTGTTACTGCTGCTGTCAATCTTGCTTTTCTTATCATTGTGCTCACACGTGTCGCATGTTTCCGATTTTCATCACCTCGCCGTCCAGCCTTCCGCAGCTATGCCTAAACCCTGGGAGCTAGGATTAGGGGGACCCTTGGGGAAAAAGACCCTCTCAATAAGGTCCCTTAAAGGGTACCCCCCCCCATAATACTACCTAAACCCTAAACAGGCCTGGAAGGCTTTTCTGCCAGCCCACGTGGTTGCTCGGGCCTTGAAGCCTTCAGAATCCTAAGCCCTCGGCCCTACAGGCCTTACCCGTTTTTTTGTTTCTTGTTTTTTTTTTTTATTTTTTAGTTTTTTTTGGGGGGAGTCGTTTAGGTCAGGATTGGAGGCTAAGCGACGGGATTTTCACATCTTGTTCTGTGTTTAGGAACCGCACCTCTCTACTTGCAACTTTGGTTGCTTCGCGGTTTTTTGGGGAACATGGTGCCCACAGATGAACATTTGGAGAACCCAACCCCGAAACTGCCTTTAAGAAGGAGTCTACCTTAAGAACCCAAAACCTACTTCTTTGTAGGGTCCCTATAAATCCCATATTAGGGTTTATAATAAGAAACTACTAAAAAGTGGGTTTTGGGTTCTTAAGGTGGACCCCCAAGACCCCAAACCACAAATCCTATGCCCCAAACCCCATAGCATAGTGCGATTTGGGCAGCTACGGGACTGGGAAACATGAACTAAGCCATCAAGGAAAAGACCCCGGAGCCCCTAAGAGCTCCGTGCTCCAGGACGCCAGCACCCCGGTCATTGGAGCTGTCAGGTGCGCTTCCGCAAGTAGTTTTCAAGCGCGTTTCCATATCTGCAGACTCTCAGGAGTAGTGTAGTTGGGACAGAGAGTTTAAACCTTCTTGTAACAGTGGGGATCACCCCACAAGCCTGATTGCCGTACTATGGAAGGGGTTTGAGACAGTCCTGAGCAGGCTGGGAGCCAACACCAGTATCACCAAGGAGCAGGAGCGAGCCGCAAGAAAGTTGCAGGGACTTCGTGGGCTGCAGACAACAACTCAGCAATCTACCGTAGACCATATTAATGGATCCCTGTTCGCTTGAAGATAGGTCCCTAAGTCAAAGGCTTTATACGGTCCAGAGCTGGTTGAGTCCAGCAGTCTGCGGTTGCAGGATGCCGAGTCCCAAGAACTTCACACAAACAAATAAACCCTAAACCCTAATTTAGGGTGTAGGGTTTAGGGGTTTAGGGTATAGGGGTTTAGGGTTTAGTGACAGCCAGTTGCAAAAAAGGGTCGCTAAACCCAACGCCTCAGCCTTGGCTAAGCCGGAAACAACATACGCGGTGCCTCCCGAACCGCACGGTGCCCATCGGCGACCCAACACGCACCTGAAAAAAATCTATTGCACTCCGTTCTCCTCGAATGGTATTACGAATGGCATTACCTCCTTAACCCATCCCACAAAAACCACAAACACACAGAACAAGGCAATAACCCTCAACCCCCTAAACCCTAAACCCCCTAAACCTCGCCTAAGCATGTCCGAGAGTGAGTGCTGAACCCCTAAACCCCCTAAGCCCTAAACCCCAAACCCTTGATAAGCTTTGATCTCCTATCCGCGCGCAGGAGTTGCGGGTGAAGGCCTCCGACTCTGAGCTCATCTTGTCCCACGCCGAAGGCCTCCGGCACGGTTGGGTCCGGGAAATTAGGGTTTAGGGTTTAGGGTTTTGGGGGGGATTCAGGGCTTAGTGCATGCAGTCCCTGCTCAAGAAAAGGGGTTTAGGGGTTTTGGGCTTAGGGTTTACGGCATGGTTGGGTCCGAGAAATTTGAGTTTAGGGGTGATTACGGGGGCCTAAGTATTTAGAATCGGGTTCAGGGTTATCAGGATGCTTAGAACCATCAGGGTTGTATTCTTTGGGGGCTGGAGTTTTTATATAGGAGAAGTAGCTGTCGCTGGTTGCCCTAAGTTCAACTTCGAGATTCTCCCCTTAGCCACACATAAGCGTTCATTCCCGAACATTTGGCAGATTGGGAACCTCAAAATTTCAGGTACCTAAGTCGACCCACTATGCCAGAAAGACTGTTGATGATATAAATCCTGCATTACCCATAACAAGGAATATACCATAATTCCCATAGTTTAAATTCCCATAGTTTAGGGTCCTTAAGGTAATGCAGGATTTATATCACCAGCCGTACCTCCCCACCGCCATAGGGGACGGTAGGGAACAAGGGGTGTTGCGGATAGCGGAGCTCTGATCTTCTTCCCGGAGATCTAAGGTTGAACCCATGGGCCCCTAGTATGGGCCCTTAGCTCTGGGATCCTTAAAGACCTACTATATATCCTATATGTACCCTTAAACCCTAAACCCTAAACCCCTAGAAAGGCCTAAGGGTCCATATTTGGGGCCCATACCTCTAACTTTAGAGGAGTGGTAAGACCAGGGCACACCACGGGCCTGCTAGAAGACGTGGTTGGGAAACCTCCAAGCCCTCATGTAGGGGCCTTAAGAATTAGAATAGGGTTTTGGAGGGTTCCTTATCATAATTATACTAGAGTGGGCCCCAAAACCCTGTTCTAATTCAGGCTTCTCTCTATATTAGACACCCTCCACCTCAAAGCCTTGAGCCCGAAACTGTCCTGAGCTTCAGCCTCTGGGCCTAATATAAGGGCCTTAAGAATTACCTATACTTTTATTTTGGGGGGTTCCTCATTATAATTGCAATATAATATAGCCCCAAACCCTGTAATTCATTGAGGCCCTTACATTACCAACCTTGAACCATGAATTCTGGATCAAGGCCTTCTGGGGGGTTTCAGGCGAGCATCAGGCTGCATTCGTTTCGGAGGGCTTCTGAACACGACGGAGAAGGATTTTCTGCCGTTGCATAAGGTGC